TTCCTGCAAAATATTTAGGCAGCAATACCTGTCAGGCTCATACATCTACTCCTGTTAAATTTAAATTTTATACAACTTTCCTTACTGTAATATACAGTATCTCTTTTGTTCTGTTGGATTTTTTCATTTTTCACAGAGAAAAGTGATCAACAGCTATCCAACAGAATTTTTTTTTTTTTTAATCCCCAATCTCCTTCCATTGTATGGCTCAGTTTCAAGATTTAATTGATAGGCAGCCACCACCACTATAACCAGTACCCTTCTGGCACAGTTCAGTCACTGACTGTTGATGCTTAGAACACAAAGTTTTGAGGCTGGCCTGCTGTTTATGGAAACCAAGATACTCAGAGGTTGTATCTTTTTGTCACCACCTGCCAAACAGTAACGTCAGTGAGTCCCGATACTATAATTCAATTAGTTACCTACCATTTGGGTAACAAAAAATAACAAACCCAGTTGGCGATTCTAGACATTATAAGAATATTCACCCTGAGAACACAGAGGAAGTGTTTAAAAAAAATTCTGATATGTTTTCTCTTCATTTATAGTTCTCTTCTTTTCTCTTCATCTCCTCTTGGGCACCTGGGTTTGTATCTAGTATTTGACTTCACATATGCTTTCTCAGTTGACCTATTCAGGCAACAGTCAGGTACTGGTGATAGAAAAGCCCAAAAAGGCTTGTAGAAAAGAGGCAAGCAGCAATCCACCAGGTGAGAAAAGACAGGAGTCCCCGGAACAGGAGAGGAGTGAAAATATTCTTTAGGCTTCCCAATGCCATTGTTATCTGTACTACAGTTACTTTCATCTTTCCATCAGCAGGTGGAGACTCAGAATAAACTGAACTGGGAAGCAGACTGTTTTCTACTGGAGTGTCAGAATTCAATTCCGGATAGATGCCCCAAGAATAATTACCTGTTAAAAAGAAATGAGTAACAGATTTTTGTAGAATTAAATTCAAGTTCTGTTATTTCTATCACTTCATAGATCATCTTAATTTTTCACACATACACACACACACAAAATCAGAAGTTTTTATAACTTTGTAAATACTAAGTGTATTTCATCCTGATCATACTAGTGAGCTATTAGGATTCATCTTACCTTTTGACAACCCAACATCTAGATGCAAAGATGTGACATAGTTGCTTTGGGACCCCTGTCAGTGCTGGGTATGATTCACCTTACCAGATGCAGATGTCTACTCCAGAATGGGATGAATCACAGCCTAATAAAGCCTATCTCTTTCCGTTGACATTTTGCAAAAAGAATGCCATGACTGCATGGCAGGCTGTGAAAGACATCCCTCACAAGAAAGAAAGAAGAAGAAAAAAAAAAAAAAGCCCCCAAGAGCGACATCAGCTCTCCCAACAATGAAATGAACCCCATATCTCACAATTTCCATCCAAAATGCGTACTGAAGACTGAAAAGCCAAAAAAAAAAAAATAAAAATCCCTTAACAGCTGCTCATAAGGTTAAATCATCAATGCTTTACACAGCTCTCTTTTAAAATACTTTTAAAGAGACATTTTAACAGAAGAGCATTATTGGCTGTATTGCACAACTTCTCAAAAATAAATCAAACAAATTAGCATATAATTAAAAGATCTCAAAAGCAGCAACAGAAGAGGACTGCTTAAAAGCCACACATCAGAATGTTTTATACTGCAGGGAACTACAGTGTATTTCTGTACTGCAGGTACCTGTACATTCTAATTTTCTTCAGCAAGCTGAAAACATAAGAGCCCTGCATAGAACAGAACACATTTTTGTTGATCCAATTTTGCCTACCTAGTGTTTTCAAGAGCAGAGTTGTGTGAAGGAGCATTACCAATGGTGCAACATACTGCAGTGCAATTACACAAAGATAATAGAATACCCGAGCCACCTGGGAAAACAGAAAAGAGTAATTCATGAGTTCTAGCTGATCAGAGCAGACCTTTATGAACAAGTCTAGAAAAAACAGTCAATTTATTAAAAAGAGGGTACTTATGCATTAAAGCTGTTTTAAAAGTTTTCTAGCAAGTCTTGGCAAGTGACATATTATCTTCAAAAGACCTACTGAAGAAATCCCTACAATGAACTCTAATTTCAGGATGTTTACAAACCTGACAGAAAGTGTTGAAAATAAATAACTAAAAGCATTAGTTCTGTTACAACAAACAATTAATTCTGCATCTGCAAACTATGTGTCATCATTCAAGGATTCCCACTTCAATACACCAGAATCAAGCTAAATATATGTTCAATTTTTTGAAGTCCCCAGTGATTTCAAAATTGAAGTTGTAGTTACAGTCCAAAGCCTCAAAAAGCAAATGAAAGTTTGGTTTATATTGCAGTCCCTTTTCAAAAGCGAGGTATTTTTAAGATTTCCAACTGTGAAACACCAGTATTTTAAAAACAAGATGACTTTTTATTAATAGTTGATCAATAACAGCATTTAAATGGTCTTTATTTCAGGTATACATTATGGTTCATTGAAATCCACTCAGATTTATCCCTCCCACTTCTCCCAATCTGTCCCATCTTTCTCAAAATTGTTACATTACATATTTTATGTAAGCTATTGACTTAAAAGACTAGACCAAATAAAGAAGGAAAAGAGTCATCAAATCAATGTCAACAAAGCAACGAAGTAAAGCTAACCAGATTTTAGAAAAGAACAGACTACAGAATGGCAAAGAAGATGAAGGCAGACATAACATTTATGGAAATACCTCTAAAACCTCAAAGGGCTTTGTGATGAGCAAGCATTAAAAAAAAACCCAAAAACACTTACATGAGAAGAAAAAGTAGCAAGACACTGACAGAAGAAAAAGCACGAGACAAAATATACTGCAAGGAAATGGATGGAATATGATAAAAAGAAAAAATTAAAAAAGTAGTAATTCCTGTAGGATGACAGATAGGAAAGACTTAACTGGCAGAAGTTCCAGAAGAAGATAAAGCAGACATGGCTAGTAAAACAAGACAGACAGGACTTCATTTAGCAGCTATGGCCTTCTCAAAGAGAAGGTATGAAGTTACTGGATAAATGGATTTAGGAAATGCCATATGGAGAAGATACTACTGGTTTATAGACAGGATGAAAGCTCACAGAACTAAAATTATGTTCTTACAGCAATCAGCACAGTTCTGTCCTAAACCAGGTGCTGCTACATGTTTTTCCTAACAATTTTCTGAAGCAATCTGTTAGCCACTGTGTTTGTAAATAACTACTGCACAGTCCACTTATGACCTTCAGATACTCAGTTAAGCCAAGGACAAGACTGTAAGTAATAGTGACAATCCTAAGAGAGAAATCTTTGTCTTGTGGCAACTTGCCAATAACTTAAGACAACTGCATAATATGTGTGATACTTCTCTGCACATTTTGGCTTGCAGAATTTCTCTGTAATGGTGCTTTTTCTATACAATATAGCCTAAGAAGCTTCATTCAGGTTTCAGCTCAAAATGAAAACACAAAACTGGAACAAAAGCAACTGTACAGACAGAGCACTCCAAATACATAACTTCAGTGCCACCATACTTACCATTTTCTGCAAATCAACCATACTTATTCTGCCAGCTTCCTTTTTCATCTGATCCACACTTTTCTGGGCTAAATTCAGATAGGCCTGTAAATGATGGCGTATCATAGCTAACCGTAAAGCACACAACAGGATTACAATCCACAGCCTGACAGTGTCAAATGTATCTTCTGACATCCTGTGGATTAAAAAAAAAAAAAAAAAAAAAGTAAAACTGTTTTCTAGTGGTCACCTACTATTACAGTTATTTGTATAATCTGTAAAGAAATCCTGAAGCATATTGTCAAAAATTCTTAACACACAATCTACAGTTATGAAGTTCACGTGCAAGTAATACTGACTTTTGCCTTCCGATTCTCTTTATCGCTACTTCTTAGTAGACCTATTACAGCATTAAACCCAAATTAGTATCCATTTGTCTCTGAACAAGAGCAGCTCTTAAAGGCTTAAATTCTGAGTAATGAAGATATGATGCTAAAAAAACAAGCTCACTCAGATAATTACAGGTTTTGAGAAACACAGTTCTGGGTAGCAAAAGTGCACTTCAGTTGCCTTAGATACCCTGCTATAGCACAGCCCTCGTTTAAAATAAACTGAGGAACAAAATGGAAGCACAAAAGATGTATATTTGCAATGTTTTATGTGATAGTTCAGTAGTCACTGAATCACCTTAGAAGCATCTCATAAGCCTAGCAAGCAATAAAAGCGTCAGGCAATCAAATATGTTTGAGTACTACTATTCTGAATTATCTAGACTAATAGTGACAATGACCATCACCTATATTACTTACATTTATTTCAGATACCACTCTTCCTGAAAATTCCTTTCCCTTCTATGTTTTAAATATTTTAGCTATCGATTCCATATGCACTTCATCTACACATGCATCTTAAGACAAATCACTCGGGTCCATTCTCATGCCAGTGTATCTTGACTGCCTTCAGTGAAACCACTCCTCCCCTGCATTAATATGTAAGATACAAGGTTCCAGAGCATGGCAGTGAGGTGGTATTCCACCCCTAGGAAGGAAAACCACTGCTGCCAAGCAGATGCCAGAAGGCAGCAGCTTTTTGGGAACCACCACCTTAAAATTCAACACTCTGCGACTAATTTGCATTCTTCTAAAATAATCAGCTCCTCAGAGCTCAGATGCAACTTCCACAAGACCTCTGACACCAGATGCTATTAAATTTTAAGTCTTTCATGTTTCTGTGACTTCCATAGGACGCTACTTAAGACTTATGGTTTTGCTTTCAATACCCCAGAAAGAATTTTTAAAGGGAATCTTACAAAGGGATGCTCTCTTTGCCCAAAGGTGGGTTCATAATGTAGTCCTTAGTGATTGGTTTTACCCACAGTAGAACCATAAATAAAGGTGCCAAGAAGTTTATATGTAGCAATGTTCTGAAAGAAATAAAAAAAAAAGGGGGGGGGAGGGGAAGTTATTAAATACAAACAATTACCATACTGTTGAAACTGGGGATACAGATTGAAAAGGAGAAATCCAAATTTAAAAATAGTTGAGAGGAAGTTAAATAAGATTACTTCCCTCTTCTATAGGTATGACTTACATTTCAACAAATCAGTAATACTACATACTGTGAAATCACACTAGCTGGTACTTAAAAAAAGTGCTCTTAGAGTATCTGAAAACCTGATTTATTCTAAACAATCTAACCAAAGGAGCTGCGTGCATTAAGCCACATGATAGAAAAGACAGTTGCTGAAAATTTCCATGTGATGGCTTAACACCAAATTGCCCTAGCTATTTCAGTTTTAATCGAGAGAGTTAGTATCTCAGATAATTATGATCAGATATATTAAAAATATACTCTTATAGTAATATTTTTTTTTCTTTATTAAAAATTTACTCAGATTAATTTTCATTATTGATAGAGACCAGGGGAAACAGTTCTCAGAGGTCTGATTTCCCAGTTTAATGAAGTAATTAAGTTTTTTTTACTTAGGAACCTTGACTAAAGGGAAGTTGGTACTTACATTCAATTAGATAATCAAACAAAACAAAACAAAAAACAAGAGAAAAAAGTCAGCACAGCTATTCCATTTTAAAAGCATTTTATGAAACTGCACAGTCAACGTAAAAATAGTATTCTCTTGTAATCTTTGAGTACAAAACAAACAGCAGAATTTAAAAGGAGGAGGTAGTTTTCTGAAGATTCTTCCATAATCCTTCTTCATTTCCAAACCCCACATCCCAATCATTTTTCATTACTAAAATCAAACTAAAAGAGTTGAAGACTTCAGTGCTGTAGATCTGGTGGTTTCGCTAGTACAATGCTTCCTCACTAACAAGATCAGCTAAGATCCTCTTCACCAAGAGCATCAGCTTGTCTATATTTCCATCTCAAACCATAGAGCTTCTACACTATAGAAAAAATGAGGTAATCAAAAGTTATTCTGAAGAACACACTTACTGATTTCTAATTTCTAAACTTCCTAAAAACATTAAAATGTTTGCATGTTTCAGAAAATGTCATCACATGCACATTTAAATCATCAATGAAGAAATAAGCGCTTCTAGTTATTCAGTGTTGCTAGGGAACGCGACAGCACCAAAGAACAGTCCAAAGCATTTCACTAACTTGTGAAAGTGTTTTACCTGAGCTTCAACTTATATAAGACATTCTACTGAGCTAATGGACTGGAATGTGCCAAGGGTGGCAAGAATCCCTTTCTGTTTACTTGAGTACAGGGAGAAAAGCTGAAAGCCTCTGGAAAATGAGGGAATGTGTATGAAAATGGTACAGACTGATTAAGACTCAAAAATATATGCAGCCAAGGATATTTTTAAAGAAAGAAAAAAAAAAAAAAAACAAACCAGCTATCAGAACCAAAAAGGACTCAAGATTATTTTTATTCCTTTTACCAAAAAAACCCTTATTCCCAATATAAATAAAAGAACCACATTAATCATTTTGAATATATTAACCATTAACCTTTAGGGGTTTTTTTGACAGTGTTCCCTGGAAGTTAAGTCTCCCATTCTGTAATATAATGGGAAAGGAACCTTGTCTTCTCTGGGCATTCTGCCGGTTTTGGGGTTATTTTGGGTTTTTTTTTTTAGTGGTTGTTGTTTTTTTTTGTTGGGTGTTTTGTGTTTGGTTTTTTGTTTTTTGTTTGGGTTTTTTTTGTTTTTTTTTGTTGGTCGGTTGGGTTTTTTTGGGGGGGTTCTTTTGTCTGTTTGCTGTTTTTTTTTCCTTTTTGGGGGGGGGGGGGTTGGTTTTGGGGAGGAGCTTGGGGGCTAATGTTTTTCTGGGCAGCTTTGGGGATTTGGGGTGGGGTTTTTTTGTGGGGGTTTTTTCCCCCTCCAAAAGTAGACCACGTATTTGACTGCAGAGAAAGACACCGTTTTCCTGTACCCAAATTAGAAAGATTTCCATCAGTGATATGTCGTCCTCATTTACTACTCCCCGAGAAACAATAGCAAACAGTCCATAATGACCTACTCACTGATAAAAACACATCACTAAGGGCAAATACCAATCTTTTCAGGCCAACTAGAATCTATCACTCTACAATGATTCTCTGTTTATAATTGCATTACCTAATTACGTAGATACCTGACCAAATTTTAACCCCTTTAACATAATTTTTATACTGTTCCTGTTGAATTGCCAGAGTATTGGTAGACTTTTCAAAATAATTTGCTTGGTGTTGCATAAAGTTATCTTCAATAACCAGCTCCAATATCCTCTAAACATTAAGTTAGAGACGATTCATTTTTCATAACCCCATTCTAGTGGATATTAATTACCCTTTTAGTACTTGATTAATAAACTTCTGCTTCAGAAGGTTTTATATTTCTGCCTAGGATCTCATGTTCACAGATCGAGGAAGATGTTGGAAAATTAGAGGACACTTACAGGAAAAGTGCAAGAAATTTTAGAATACTGAGAACCATAAAAACAAAAATCTAGGAAGTTTATTTAGCTTATATGAAAAGAACAGACTAAGAAGTGAATGGGTTGCAGTCTACACATAGGCAAAAAGTTAACAGCAGATACAACAAGCCAACAGCTTTCAGCTGTACCTGGATGCATTCAACTGCAGTGAGTGCAAGTATAACACAGAGTACTTGGTTATAAATTTACCAAGACTGATGGACCCATTTTAAACACAGAGTAATTTTTACGATGGGCATTTTCTGGGGAACAACAACAACAAAAAAAAAAAAAAAAAAATTCCGTATCAGAAAATATAACGGTTCTCCTAGGAAAGTGTCCAGGCTTAATGATCACAATGGTCTAGGCTGCATAATCTGTCATTAACATGTATTAAACATCAAAGGTCAAGATCTGTCAAAGACATTTGGAGGTTCTCCCTCAACCAGAGTGTGCTGAAGAGAAACACTTAGGTCAGAGAAAACATTTTTACTACCAAACTCAAGGATGGCTGAAAATTAAAATATTCCTTTAAACTCATATTAATGCCTGACCCTTATTAAATATTCTGGGTCATTTTTTCATTGTATCTTACCCTGAACTTATTAAAGGCATGATGGTCACCTGGAGTTGAGGGTGGAAAAACAAAAAATTCCTGTGATTGCATGTCTACTTCCTGAAAATCACCTTAACTTCCGAGAAGATATGATGGGGAAAAGGAAGCAGTAAGCAGAAACATTCATGGTGGAGCTCTTGCAGGAGAAAAGGAACGCTCCTTTAACTGGGACTCTCATTACAAGGCAACGAATGTAACAAGATTGGCAGAGCACAGGTTGAGCAGAAAGAGGCAGGTGACAAGTCTGCTCAAGATAAGAAAAGCAGTCAGCAACAGAAGTCTTAGTCACTACCTTCTTGTTGGAATAGTTTGCTTTGTTTATATTCAGACATTGAAGATTTAAGACTCAGTAGCATATACCTATGTGCATAGATTTTTCTCTTACTGTGTTATTTTTTCTGTTGCTAAATTCAGAGCATCCAGATGCATTTGAGCCAGTCGCAAGCCAGGGAATGTCAAAAAAGCACCAATAAGTGAACACAGAACAGCCAGGAACAATTTGAAGGTTAGTTTAGACACAGGGCCCCTAAAAGAAAAGAAAGGAAACAAGCATTTTCTTGGGAGGAAGTTGGGGGGTGGTGTATCAGAGATTACTTTCAACTCAACAGTATCTAACATTTAATTAAAGAAGCAAACAGTATTCTATAGCCTTATACTGGAATACCAGCACTATTACAAACCAATCAGGAGCTAAAATGAAAAAGGTCGAATATTTATTTCCTAGGCAAACAGCAAACCTAAGCTATTGCCTATAGATGTTAAGTTTGTTAGTAGAGAACAACAAAAGAGTAATTTTAATTGTAATTAACAGCGTATCATATAACAGAAATCTAATCGTTATGTTTTTAACAGAGGAACAGATGCATCGTGTTTAACTGGTCAATGACAAAATGGATATTTAAGTTATACTACTTACATTCTACCTTTACCCATTAAAAAGCTCCATCAAACATTTATTACTGCAGTTTTTCACAGATTTAAAACATACATGTGGACAATTAACATGTCTCTTCCAAGTTATTAATGTAGTTTGCTTTCATAAATTATTGAGTATATAAAAATATTCAGGAAAAGAAATATCCAGGACCAGCTGAATTATGCAATTAACACTGGATTACACAAAAAGAAAAACAAAACAAAAAAACCCAACTGAACAAACAAGTGACACGTAACTAACACAGATTAAAGAGAAACAAAAATAAATCTAGTAAATCACAAGTTTCAGATTCTTTCTTAATCTTTGTTATATACGTTACCAAGAGACACTATCATAAATTCAACTGCTGCTGTAAACAGCCAAAGCATTGCAAAAGTTGAAAAATAAGCAAACACTTAACAGGAAAATTAATACAGAAGTTAGCAATCTTGCAATAGCTTAGGAAAATCAAGGTGAAGAAAACCCATGGGATTCAGGTAAAGATTTCCCATGAGTTTATTCATAAATGACATGCTAATCTAGCTTAAGGAAACTTCCATTCCTCAAAAATAGATTCCATAGCTTCTGCACGATACTTGACGACTTCCATGCAAAACATTTCAAGTGTGCTCCCACAGCGATGACACACCTCATGAATGCGTCTAGAGTAAGTGTGTAAGGATGGAATTGTAATTGAAATCCATTTTGCTATATACAAAGGCTGTCTACAATATCAACTGTATATTTATGCAATATTACAATCTACAGCATGTTCCTTCAACAGTCTCTTCAAAATATTGGGATGTCCTGTAGCAAGCAGATGTTTTTGCATAATAGGAAAACACTATTACAACCTGAAATAGGACTGAACAGCAAAATTTACTCTTAATGTCAACTTTATCACAAGCTCCATCTGTAGCTTTTGCACCCTCTTGCATGTGACTGGCATGGCAAAAATACCCATCACCTGGTTTAAGCAATACTTACAAAGCTGAGGGGAATTAACTTGAAAGAAGTGTTTATAATTTTTAACTGTATTTTATGAACTACAACCAAAATGTCAGGGTAGAAACGACCTCCAAATTAAAAAGAGAAAACACAACTGCAACTTAATTAACTTGTGAGTACTGATGAATTATTTTCATTAACCCAACTTTTCACATTATTACAGAAATTCTAAGTATGTACAAAGAGGAAAATACACAAGACAAATGCTTGCTAAGAAAATCCAAGTGCTTCAGTTATAAATGCACACATAAACCAGACAAATACATTTCCAGAAACTTACTGGGATTCCAGGCCCTGCTTTTCAAGAAATTGCATAGCACTTTTGGAGAAATTCGAGAATCCTGCAGAGACACATAAATGTATTTTATTAGAGTACAAATGAAAAACCCCTTTTTGAAATAAAACACTAGGTAAAAGTTCATCTTTCAAACAAATTTCCATAAGTCTAGCATAGCTCTCTCATATGCCATATATTATATCCACATACCATAGCCACATATTGCATTACAGATAAGTAGTATGCCACAGTGCAATAAAATTTAATTATTAACATCTCAGGTATTTGTACAGTTCAGGAACATGAATAAAATTAACATTATTTTTTACGTATATAAGTGTTTGGTTTGTTGGTTTTTTCCCCAGTAAAGGAGCTTCACTTTACTACAAAAGGCAAAATAAGTTAAATGTAAAACTGGAAGGCAAATAAAATTAACAAAACAAACAACCTAGGCTGAGATTACACTGTTTAAAAGAAAGCAGGGAAAATATACAGGATGTCCTTCAGAATCTGCATTCCAAAGCAAAATTTCTTGGAAGTGTATGACATAGAGTTCTTTTTAAGACAAATATTCTCAAAACACTTAAAAGTCTGGAAATAAATTTTTCAGGTAATGCAATCACTAGAGCTGTGTGAACACTTAAGAAAAGAGTTACCTGATTCCAGTCCAAACTCTAGATAGTTTTCTGTCACAATAAGAATTGCCATTGCTTTCACAAAGAAAAAGAAACCAAAGGTGACACAGACTGATCTTTCACCTCCATCCTCTACTTTGAAATAATGGGTAGTCAATGAAAATAGTACCTTGCTTCACAAGAAAAAGGTCAAGGAAAATTAAGTTTGTAAAATAACTATATTTAAGAAATATAAAGCTGTATTTTGGTCATCTACACTAGGGCTGTTCTATGATGCACAATTTATTTTTTTTTAAATAATGTGTTCAGCCAATTTCAGCTTAAAATTACAGAATACTGTAAAGCAAAATAATCACATAATGGGTAGCCAGGAATACATTACTCTGGAGTATAGCTTTGATTTAGGCTTGCTTATTTATAGTCAACTGCAGCAATATTCATTATCAACCTAACAGAATTAAACCGCAGTGTAAACAAACAATTACATAAATATAAGTTAGATCAAACAAAAAATAAGACAACCATATCTTCAATGCAAATTATTGATATAAATGAAAAATATTCCACTGAACTAGAATAACTCAGGATTTAATATATCAATTTCAAAATGCAAAATATTACTTTTGAATGGAACAAGTGTGATGGCAGGGAAGTAAATAAACATTTTTAACCACAAAGGGGCTGTACGTGTTCTTCCTGGATGCAAGGTACAACAGCAATACAATCAGCAAGAACCAGGTGTTCCAACAAGCACTTTTATCCATAATGGGATAAAATTTATTAATTATTTCTACACACAGGGACTGTAAACCTCACCAAAACCGTGATGATTGTTGCTTAGATTATTACATTTCTGTTTACTAAACAAAAAACGTATGAAAGATGAAACTTAGATTTCCCTACTTTCACATGCATGTCTTTGAAATTTTTAGCTGTCAAAGATAGTAAAATAAGTGCATGCTTAGTAGTATGTAGAAAAGAAAAAGCTACCTCACGCTTATCTTGCAGAAAAAAAAAAAACAAACAAAAAAAAAGAAACCCCTTATAGTCTGGTATGATGTATTAGGTCCTTTCATGTAACCCTAGTGCCACAAATACAAATATCTAAGACATCACCTGCTCTGTTATAAAGCTGTTTTTAAAATGTTTATTGAGTACACTCCTTTTTAAACACATTTCTAAAGAAAGTTAGTTATCTCCAAAGTTAAACAGAACATTAGAATAAATTTTTCTTATTACTGCAGCCCATTACAATTGTGGTTTTTGGTTTGTTTTTTTTTTTTTCAAATGGTAGCCAATATCCAAGTCCATATAAGTAGCTGAAGATCACTCTGGACATGATCTGCTTTGCAAAATTGAAGAGAAAAAGAAAAAAAAAAAGGTTTTAAGTGTAAATTGTACCATTTTTTCAACTATACAATAACATATTCATTCATATTTGCACTTCTTTTTTTTAATACTGGAAGTGTTTTAAGATGTAGATAGCATGAAAACATGTTTTAGAGTATTTATTCAGAAACACATATGAACAGTCATCAGTTAATCTCTCAAGAAACTATATGATTACGCAATATTGCACTTCATTAGCCAGCACATATTTAACATACACACTGCTGTATTTCATCCATATGCAGAGAGGTACTGACATTTACACAAGAAAGCGGCCTAAGCACAGCATCTAGTAAGTCCAAATTCACAGTAATCAACTTAGGCTCCCTTCATAAATCACAGAAAGAAGACATAGCTCATCCAAAACAGAAGTACATAATAGGTCATACAGACCGCGGTCTTGAAAGCTCTGTTCCTCTAATGCATTCTTACAGCCAGGTGCCTTTTTACACCTAGGGACATCAATCACAATCTGAATGCACACTGATTCAAAATCTTGAAGTTATACAAAGGACTTCGTAATAGTTTCTGATCAATAGTCCTAACCTATAAAGAGACTTAAAACGTCTTAGACACTTCAACTAGCATTGTGCCTAAAGGATGTGGAAAATGCAACTAGAAAAAAGAAAGCATACTGACAGTAAATTTCAATTACAGTGCAGATTCAGTACCCAATGTATCAACGAATGATTATGCAAACTACATGTGACTGAAACCCTCTGTTAGTCAACGTAAGCGCTGCTCAGCAACAACTAAAACATCAGTGTGTTACTAGCATTATTCTCAGACTCAAGCCACACAGCACTTTACCAGCTATTAGGAAGCTATTACCCTAGACAAAACCAGGAGAGCCACTAATAACAGTATGTTGGGACAAGCATCAGATTACTTTCTGGATTTTTTCTGAATATCTACACTATGAATATTAAAAATGCTAATAGTGGGCTACTGCACTGAATCAAAACATCTGTTTCTAGAAGACACAGCTGAAAAAAATTCCAATCATCGCTTCCAACTTTGTTAAGCTTTTCTTGGTCAGTCTGTCAGCCAAATCCTTAGTATGTGAAACAGAAGAAACATCTGCCATCAAAACACAAAATTCGCTGCTTTCAACTGAAAATTTGGAGTCAACAAAATTTTTCTCACACATTACGATTAATAATTTATGGTCTTGCCATACTGAATTAGTAAGTAGTTGTGTACATTTTAAAATATTCTCACCATTCTAGAGGTCTGATGTCACACAACATGAATGAGCCAGTTCTCTTTCGACATGTCTTTTCACCTGCCTAGGTTCCCATGATCACAGCCATAATGCTTGGAATAATATTAATGTATTCACGAAGATGTTAACTCTAATATAAAGTTTAGACTGTGCTTCCTGGTACTGCAGCCTTCTGCACTGCCACTAACCCTTCGGACTGCACAGGATCACACTACTTCATCCCATCAGTCCAGGAACCATATAGATAATTAAGTAAATTCAATACTAGGAAGCAGTGGCTTCACCAGGATTTCTACAAAATCACCTACTTTGTGCAGAAACCTCCAATAAAAACAAGGTCCGTTTAATGCCACAGGAAAAAGGAAGTAAATAAAAGTTGTACAAATTCATAGAAAACTAGTTCTGACCATGTGTTCTCTTTGTATGATTAATGACCCTTAAACTACTTAGTACTAGGTTACACTTGTACACAAGTTTCTTATTTTCCAGAATTTATTTATTTCTACTTATCAGGCCATTTTTCTCTAGACTTTCCCAAATCTGCACATTTTTTTTACAAGTGCCTCATGAATTTTAAACTTTAACTTCAGTAAACTTTCTCCCACCCCAACAAACTTACTGAATTCCTTAAGAACTTTCTGAAGTATACTGCCTATTACCAACACCTCAAAACAATATTGGTCCCTTAGACCATACATGCCTAGATATAAAAATGCTAAAGCATGCAATTGACTGTTCACAGCTTCTACATAAAATTCAGATTTTAGCACATGATCTTTTGCTTTTAATAACTGTTCTATCTGATCTTATTTCCCTTCCGGTCATGTAGGAAGGCTAGCCAGCAAATATAGCTAATGCACTTCTAACATGCAGGGAATACTAGATATGTTTCAATCTCCTCCAGGTCCAAATGTGCAATGAGTTCTCAAGTGCTTCAGCCAGATGAGAATAAAAACTGGAAACACTAGTTTAGGCTCAATTTATGTAAAAATAGCAGGTGAGAAAGAAATAATAAAAAAACCCCTCTAATAACTACTTGCATGTTCATGCTACTAAGGCAGAAAGCTTGCACTGCCAGGCAACTTCATCTTTTTTACTTTCTGAATTTGGTTTTGCCCTGAATTGATGACCAAATGAAAGCAGTAATTAGGACTGTACTCAAATACGACTCTGAGAAAGAATTACTGCAGTGGATTTTCCTACAATATATAATTCACAAGTCTGTTTCACCTAGAGTTGCAATCATTGTAGAACTATTTAAATAGGCTACAACTGAGATTTGGCTGACACCAATAAATTTAAGAGTGCATTATGGCTTTAGTATTTGAAGCTTGGTTTTCCATTAGTTCTATTAACCTCCCTCTCATCCTCAAAACGGGATTCAAAAGTGTTGGCTTTCATTTCTGATTTCTTAAGCAATAGCTGCTTCTCCTTCCCCCTGCCAACATTAAATTAGAATTCATGACTTCACCCAAACAAATAAAACAAAGGCTGTAATACTGCTATAATATCATTATAAGGTGCTCCAGAGCTAAACACTGACTTCTCTGTCACTACGTCTAGAAAAAACACCTTTTGCACTGAGGACCTCTCCACTGACAAATCAAAGGAGAAACACCTCGTCTAGAAGCAAGCTAAGGACAGTCTCTTTTTCTCTCATAATGTGAGTCAACTCCGTCTTCTGGCAAGCTCTTACTCATTACAGGGAAAGTTCTGGGTATCATTTTTACTTCAGGCCACTTAGAGAAAGAATTCCTGTCCTTATCATAAAAGCAGCACACATTTATTAAGTACGGAGAAGCATTAAGCATATCCAGAATGGTTAGCCAAATATAACCAAGGATTACAGTTCAAGGGGTTTATATTATACCCCAGCTACTGCTAACAGCAACAACAACAAAAAACAAACAAACAAATAAAAAAAAAACCAAACAAAATCACCCCACACAACACAGTGAGAACCCTTACTGAAGAACAGGCATTTATACAGAGGAATCAATTTTGAATATTCAAGTGCTGTACTGACCCTAATTTAGGACTGGTTGTCAGTTGTTGAGGGTGCAGAGGAGTTGCAGAAATTAATTTTCTAATTCATCTTTCCATAACCTGCACTCTCGCAGGCCCTTATTCAATTCCACTGCTTCATCACCTATCACGTCTTTAGAAGGCAACTTTCCTCCCTAAAGCATAGGTCAGGATTGGTATGCGGAAAAGAGCTAATTACTGTGCAAGCACCCATGTCTGATACTGCCTTTTCCAGTAAAAACAAGCATAACAGTGGCTTACTTTTATGGCCCAGTATTGCCTGTTTGTTTCCCTCAGTTACAGAGGGAAATTCAGTTTTTCACAGAGCTTTGAAAATGTACTGCCTTTGCTCCCACACCTGTCTACACATTTTATTTTCTGTAAACTTTATAAGGGTGTCTTGAATGTCTTTGAAATTATGAATTCATGCACGTCTCTTTGCTATAAAGTAGTATACACATTATTGTACTATTTTGTTCAGGAAGTATCAGATTAAACAGACTGAAAACTGAAAGTGTGCAATAAATTGCAATAAATTGCACACTTCTTCAAAAGTTGTAAATACACTCTGTACAGAAATCTATTTCTGAATGCCAAACTGGGCAAAATAAAATTAGTTTAGAACCACGCTATACTACAGATGAGCACTATATGTAAGTTCACATACATGCATTTCATTTTCCATAAATGGCTTGGTATTAATGTTAACATGCTCTTGATACCAGCGTGTACAGCATATACATTACCCAACCACAGCATTAGCTTACACGATCCTTTTTCCAAATGCTGTATATTTTTGTATCCTGCCAATCAACAATACAGACCTTTATATGAATTTAGGATAATGTGGACTATTTGGATCAGATAGAGTCATTTAAGAACACAGAAAAGGATACACTGCAAAAGCCAGGACAAGCAGACACCACACTATGCTGATATTCATTTCTTGTGAGGGCTTCACAATGCTGTAATAGGCCTCTGTCACCACGTACACAACTGTAGCTGCAACAGTGAAATCCACCAGCCACTGATATTCTGGAAAATAATGCAAGGCTGAAAAATACAAGTTTGCAAACATTATTATTTGTATAATTATTTTGAGGCAGATACTGACATATATAGAATGGAGTGACAATAACAAAATGTTTTCAATTGACTGAGGTCTAGGTAGACCATCCAAGAGCAACAAGCCACATTTTTAGAACTCAACAGTGAAGTGAACTTCACTGTTCACTTCTGTTACTTGATTTCTGCTCAGATTTATATGGCTACAAGATTTTACTTTTTTATCATCTCAGCTTTTACACATTAACATCCTAAATTCAAAAAACACACTTTATTTAGATGTCAACATCACAACAGAAAATGGTTCTCCAGCTGAGATTACCTGCAATCCCAGGTAAGAGTCTTTTTGATATTCTGTTAACAGGCTAAAAGCTAACTGGCAATCATTTAAAGTACTACATATAATTACTTTTTCTTTTTTAAAAAACCCCAACATCTAAGATACTGATGTTCTGTTCTTCCAAATATTGTTACTATCTCTTGTACAGCAATAAATTACTATGTGAATTCCACTGTAAAAATTCTGGGGATCATACTGTAGTTGCATGCAGGCTGGGGGATTTACAAAGAGAGAGCTCCCACCAGTGCTGGGAACTGCAAAGAACAATTTGCGACCTATC